TGCGCAAGGTTTCACGCTGCTGGGCGGGTCTCTCTGGCTCTCCGTGGCTGCCCAGGAAGTGCAGGCGAGTCTGTAGGTTGGTGGGCCTGCGCCGGGCCGGGCGCTGGCGGCTCTGTGGGTTGCTGCCAGCTGCCGGGCGGGTTCTGCGCCAAGCTGCTGGACGCTTCCTCTGTGCACGCGATCCGTTGGCCACCGGATCGCGAGGGGAAGTGCAGGAATGGCGAACGCAAGATCTTTGCGAGTGGTTGTTGATGAGATAGCCCCCTCCGGGAAGACTGAATCACAGGCTGGTCCCAAACGCAATGAAACACAGCTCCAGACAAGTTCAGTGATACAGCTTTAGTTTATTCAGTGATTCAGCTCCACTTTATTAGGGGGAAGCTAGAGAATTTATAGTGTGGTGGCAGTAGCAGAAGCCTCAGTTGATAGGTGCTCATAGAATGCCCCATTTACATGTGGCGGTGGGCTTCTATCAGGCTGTCAGACAATGCCTGATTAAAACCTGGTAGTTCCTATGCCAGAGGTCATGTATCTGTGACGGGCACTTCAAAGGTGAGCCAGGAAGGAGAGCAGAAGGTGCCCTGCTGGAAAGGGGTGTCTCTGCATAAAAACGCCGAGCCCCTTAGGCTATCCGGACATGGAGAGACTGCAACCCAAACAGCAGGGGTCCCCAACAACAACATGCCTCACAGAGGGCCTGGGAACTGAGAGTGTGCGCAGCACGGGCCTCCCAGAAGAGAATTTGGCTTTACAGCCTCCTATCACCACAGGCCCTTTCTCTTCACAACAAAGAACATCCCAAGACCTGACCTAAGTCCCATCCCTGTTTCCAATGTTCTCACTTGATATACAGTCTCAACTGGTCTAGGTTTCGAAAAGCAGATGAACACCGATATCTCACATTTAAATCTTAAACTACCGAATTTCATCTTGTGTGTCAAAATGCCTTCATGAACGCCCCCCCAGCTTTTACTAAATGGTAAATTACTCACAGAAAAAGACCTTGGGTGCTGTCTGTCTTCCTTTCTCTTGGGCTGTATATCTAATGGAACACATCTATGTTTACTTCCAGAATTAGCTCAGAATTCAACCAGTTCTCACCACCCTTTTCCTTTCTACCTTGCAGTTTGTTTTCAAAACTGCGACCAGGAAAACCCTCCTAGAAGATACATCAGAAGATAATGCATCTCAAAGCCTAGACGACCACAGCTCACCCCAAGTAAAACTCAAAATCCCCCCATGGCCCCCAATGTCCCCCTCCCCATGTTTCCTGCTGTCTTCCTCTACCTGCCCTCAGCACAGGGGCCTATGGCTGAAAACAGACTGGAAATTGTTTCTAAACTGGAATGTGTATCACTAAGGACACAGCAGAAGTGTTCGGAACAGCAAATGCTCCCTGTACATCGCCCCTCTGATTTGAGTTTTCCATAGCATTTGTCAAAATTTGATGCTACAATGGTACTTTTATATTCTCTTATTGTGTTTTTCCCAAGAATACTTAAGCAATGTGAAGAAACATATCTCCCTTACTCTCCTTTATATTCCCAGGACTGTAACAATGCTTGACATACAGCAGAATTTTCATCATTTCAGGATGTTCTCTCAAGAGTATGCCTGAGAAGGTAATGATGCAATGGGACAAGGTTACAGCAGCAAAACCAGGCAGCACCTTCCTCAAATGCCCTGCCTGTGAGCAACACAGCCAGCCTTCCCTTATCTCTACTACAAATACATTGTTATTCAAATATGGCATTTGGCTTGAGAGCCCTGGCTCCTGGGGTCTTCAGTTTGCCTCTTTTCCCCTAGACTGCTGGGCTTTGGGGTCTGAAAGCAGGACCTTTCCATCAGAAACCCAGAGCTCCTAGAGCTCCAGCTTTGTAGACCAGGCTTCATTCCAGTGACAGCCTTCCTGCCTGACACTTTTAAATGAGACCGCCAGAGGGTGGTTATGTTCTGAGCTGAAGGCCAAGAGGACTGCCTGCAAATGGGACATGTAATTGATGACTCCCACTGAGCATAGGAGCTCAGAAGGCAGCTCTGGGTCCTGAGTCTGGCTCTCTATTGCTCTGTATGCTCATCCACAGCTTGCTCCTCTGTTGGGACCATAGGTGGCATCTTAGAGGGCAAGGCATCATCATTCCTACAGTTTCAACACCCTTCTGAATATCAAGAACCTAGAGTCTGTAGACCTACTAAAGGACCTGTGTTCCTTGTCAGTGGGTAGAGCAATGGCCTGTGGGGTGACAGAGCTGCATGTCGCTGCTGCTATGTTTCTCTGCTGCTGTGGCCTGTGCCAGCCTGGTTGCCAAGAGTAAGGCAACGAATCCTACATTGCCCCCACCCTCAGCTACCTGTGCAGTGGGTGAGCTCAGTGCTCATAGGACAGCTACTGTGCCTGCCTCTTTGTTGCAGGATCACAGCAAAGACTGGTCCAGATTTGCTCACTGAGGCTTGTCAAACAGATGTCTATGTTTAAAGAACTTTATTATTATTGTTATTATTTGGTCTTTTTGAGACAGGGTCTCCCTGTAGCCCCAGCTGGCCTGGAACTCACTATGTAGACCAGGCTGGCTTTGAACTCACAGATATCTGCCTGCCTCTGCCTCCTAAGTGCTGGGACTAAAGGTGTGTGCCACCACGCCCAGCTTAAAGAACTTAAAAAATTTTTTTTATTTTATGAGTTTGAGTGTATCGGCTGCATGTATGTAAGTGTACCCATGTCGTGCAATGCCCATGGACATCAGAGGAAGGCTTTAGATCCCCTGGAACTGGAGTTACAGACAGTTAGCTGCCACGTGGATGCTGGGATTGAACCCAGGTCCTCTGCAAGAGTGGCTAGTACTCTTAACTGCTGCGACATCTCTCCAGCCCCTAAAGAACTTTTCTTATTAATGAATATGCATTACAGCTGATGTCTACTATATAGACGGAGCAGATGCAGTTCTGTTATCAGTTTGTGTCTGTTTTCCTTGTTTCCTTTCTTATGTACTTTTTAAAATATAGCCATAAGGTTTTGTGGTCTGATTTTTAAAATTCAGTAATATATAATATCTTTGAAAATTATTAATTAATCCCCATAATTTAGCAGATATAGTTTGGTGTGGTTGTTTCTGGGCTGAGGACTGTACCAACAACACTGAGCTCATTTAATCATTAGGATTCCTTGAGCAGCTCCCAGAGCCACTGACCCAAGATTGGGGAAATATATCTGGACTGCATTCATCAGCTAATCCTTGGCAGAAATAGGTTTACATCCAGGCTGTCCAATCTAAAGTCAACGGTATTCCAAAGCAATATAAACTATTTTTAAACTTGTTACTACATACAGTTGAGTCATGAATACCTTTGGCACTAAAATAAATAGTCCATACAAGTCCTAAGGTTTTAGAGCAGTCAGAGTTCTCTCATACTTTTTAAGTACTAAACATAAAATCAAACAAATTTTCATGAGATCATAGCAAAAGCTTTAAAAGTTGCATAGTTTCACTTAACTCATTCTGTCACCAAGAATTTATCCTAGGAATTGATTCATTCTTTCCTATGAATGTAAACATGGAAGTCAGCCCCAGACTCTGAACTTGTCTCAGAGCCTGTCAGTGCCAGCTCAAGTGTTTGCCAGTTGGGGTCTGCCTGAGATGCCCAGCGTCACTTGAAGCTGCTGAGCATCCCACCATCAAGGCATTGTTCATTTCCCCTCCTGTTCAAAATTTTGAGCCTACACTGGACACCTTTTCCCCACATTAGAAATCTTTTTTTCTCTATTGACCAAAAAACACTCTTCAGGGCTTTTCCTTTGTGTTTATACAGAGGTGCAGCCGCCCTACCCCCTCCAATGAAATCTTCCTGTTTCCTTGCATCTTTAAAAGCAACAAACTGCATAGCAAGTGTTCCCAGATTCTACCATTAACTTCAGATTTCCCCACCTCATTATAGACCCGTAACTCTACTGAGATGTCTCGTAGGATCCCTAAAATTATCCTGGCTAAAAAGGACAACCACATCTTCCCCTAGCCCCTTTTCTGTCTTTATCAAGCTTTCCCCATCATTCCAGTGTCACCAATGTGGAGCCCAAACTGCATTTGCTAGGCAGATCCTGATTTTTCTTCCTTTCTGCCCATAGCCAACTTGCTTATAGCCTTCATCTGTTCTGAAAGTGTTCTGTTAATGACACAAACCTCTCATCTGGGTCATGCTCATTGCCTTTGGTTTCTATTGCCCATCTGCAGTTCTAGGATAAGAAGGGTTTCCCCTGGCCAGGGGACTGCAGATACACAGATTAAAAACTCCTCCACAGGTCTCTACAACTCTAGATGCAACAACCTTTCCCTCTGCCTTCACTTTTCAGGTACAACACTGTGTTTCTTCTGCTTGGAAAATCTTCACATGCATCCGAGTGTATTAAATTTTTATCTAAAGATTTTTTTTTTCTTTCTTTTTTTTTGAGACATGGTTTCCCTGTAGCCCCAGCTGGCCTGGAACTTGCCATATAGACCAGGCTAAATGTGAACTCCAGAGATCCGCCTGTCTCTGCCTCCTGAGTGCGGGAATTAAAGGTGTGCGCCACCATGCCTGGCCTAATCCAAAGATTTTTTTAAAGAAATTATTTTAATTGAAAAGTAAAGTTTTATGTCTTTATCATTTTTGGATTGTGTAAGTATTGTGGAGTAGTTAAATTTACTTAGTGTATTACCTCCTATATTCATCATAGGGGTGACAATACTTGAAAGTCACTGTTTTGGTAATTTCCAAGAACAGGGCATACCATTATTAAGGACAGTCACCACATAGTACAAGAAATCTGGACTTTTTCACATAGTTCTCTCACTCCATGTGTCTTGCTGCCATGTACTTCCTAGAAGGATCTCCCCAGCTACTGTGGTTGGAGCCACATCCAGTTCCTACCTGCTACGAGTTTTATATTCTTTACAGCATTTATCAGTGTCTAAATACACTGCAGTTGCTTAGTTTTGTTTTAGGAATTTATTGTTCTTTCTCTCCATTAGGTTAGCCTCATTCAGTTGTTTTTGAACAAAACAGGTGATTTTAAAGTACATATGGGCCAACCCAAAGGTCTCTGCCCATGTCTCTACTTGACCTGTTAAGGAGGGAAACTTGAGAATACAGTGAACATTTCCTGCAGCTTTGATATACCATCCTCCCTGCCATGCATGTCTTTAAGATCTAAGCTTCCAAGTCAGGACTCAGCAGGTAAAGCAGTGATCTGAGAACTTCTACCTTGAAGGAAAGGATGGGACAGACATCTGCCTCATTGTACAGGTAAAGGAGGATCTTAGAGAATGAAGACAGCAGGCTTGGTAGGATCTGGCATCAGGAGGCATCTTCAGCATTGCACTGTCTGTGCCAGGGAGCCACCTCGGTACCTGAACACATAGGCAATGCAGAATGAGGCTTCTTCCCTTTTAGTGTCTTAGTTACACGAGCAGTTCAAGTGATGAGTTGAAAAAACAGGGTTCTTCCTGATGTAATGAAATGCAACAATAACTGTTAATGTTTACTGATCTCTTTACATGCTCAGCACTGATTTAAACAGTTTATACATCATTAGAGGTAGAGAAACTGAGGAATAGAGGTTGGGTAAATTGTTTAAGATTAATCATGGAGGTTAGTCTCAAGTTTACATATCAACCACAGTGTGTAAGCTCTTGTACAGGACAAATATTTACTGTGCCATGTAAAAAGATGACCCTGGCCACTGCAGGGGAAGAAAGGGACTGACCCACTTCCTGCCAACTACATAGTATCACAATGATACCCCATTCTCAAAGGCAAGTTAACAGGAGAAAAACTTAACAGATGTTTTTGATCATCATTTTATGGGACATAGGAGCCTTTAGATTGATTTATACTTAGGTTCTAGGATAAACGGACAGCAGTACATGATACAACTGGCAAAAAGCCATTACAGAATGCTTCCTGGCCTTTGTGCCCAGTGTGGGCAGTACCCTTCTGGAGTAGGTCTTGTGATCTATCAAAGTGCCTCAGAGAATTTCTTTGTGGTCCAAGACAGAGAGGTGGCAGAATGGGGACGATGAATATTTCTAAGCATGAAGACTTGCTTTGAGAAAAAGGGCAGTTCTAGCTTCGATGGCACTTCCCGGGGAAGAGAAATTCCAGTGTCCATGGCTGTCTTAGAAGAGAATGGGGAGTAAAACACAGCAGGGTGGGAGACACAGATGTGGCTTCGGAGCCCCCTTTGCTCTGTGAGATCCTTCCGTCTTCATGTTCATGAGCTCACTTAATAACCTAAACCTTATTAAACGAAAAGAGTGAAACTCTACCCACACTCAGATGTTCAAAGGTTGGTCCCTATTCATGTGAAAATGAGCAGTGCTCCGCAGGTATGATTTGTCAGTATTAAAACACTGATGTCACACATAGTCTGATTAAAGAGTTACATGACATCTGATGAACACAAAAGACCCACAACCATAAGCATTTTAGATGATAACTGCTAAATAGTTAGTGTTGAAATTAATACAAAGTGCTTAAAAGCATGTTATGGTAACCATTTATATGCAGAGAAAAATCTTTTATAACTGGATAAAAAGTTTGCAGAGCAGGGTCATGTCTAAACATGTTAATGTTTAACTAGATAGCGAATCTTACCAGTATGGAAATATTTTTGTGTAATCATTAAATAACAAAATAACATAAACTTTAATTCATGGTTACATAATTGGCTGGAAAAATTCCAGTTTGACCTCGAAGTTTTCCTTCCCACCAGTCAAAATGTGAATCAGTCTTTGATATAACTGTGATTCTGTCTCCAGCTTGAAACTTCAGGTCCCCTGGCTGTTGCCCTTCAAAAGAGTACAGTGCTGTCACTTCTACTGGCTGATTTGAACCACCTAAAACAAGAAAATCACATTGTTAATATTTATATAGAGAAGTTGCAGTATGGATAGGTAAGACAGAAATTGATCATTTAGGGTTTAGTTTCCAGCCACCTAGGAGGTAGCAAGACACACACCACACAAAGAACCCACACCACACAATTTTGGCAATGTTTACTTCATTAAACCTAGAATTTTCTCATTTTAAAAGACAAAACAAGGGCCAACTGAGGTGGCTCTACATGGCAGAGGGAGAAAAATGACTCCTGCAGGTTGTCTTCTGGCCTCCATGAATGTGCCATGTGTACACACACACACACACACACACACACACACACACACACACAAATGAATAAATGTAATAAGTACATAAAAGAGCAAACAATAGCATTTCTCAAATCCACATAAGTCAGAACTGCATGTTGTTGTATATCTAGCTGTATTCAGCAAATGTTTAGAGCTATAAATGTTTGAATTTTGAATAATTCCTTAAAAAATATTTATACTTTCGCCACTTTTGTTGAATAGTCATTGCTATGGTCTGAATGTTTACGTGTCTCCCCCCCACCCCAACTCAAATTCATGTTCAAATCCTAACCTCCAAGGTGATGATTATCAATAGTATTAGAATCTTCCTGAAAGAGGTCCCAGGGAGCTCCTTGCTATGGCCATGGAAGCATACAGCCAGGAGATACTGGCTGCGGAGCCTCCCCAGACATCTAATGTCCCTACAACTTGACCTGGACTTCCAGGCTGCAGATACATCAGAAATGAATGCTGGTTGCCTGTGAGGGCCCCTGCAGGACAGATGGTCTGCTGGCCTGACCAGCTGAAAGGTCCTTTTTAAGCAGAACTTGAGTCTCTCCTATCTTGAGTCTTTAAAGGTGAAAGTCTGGACTGAACATCTAGAAGCCTCAGTTACTTTTATTCTTTTTTTAATTTTTGGTCTGTTTTTGAGACAGGGTCTCCCTGTAGCCCCAGCTGTCCTAGAACTCACTATGTAGAACAGGGTGGCCTTGAACTCACAGAGATCCGCCAGCCTCTGCCTCCCAAGTGCTGGCATCAAAGGCATGTGCCACCATGCCCAACTACTTTTACTCTTTAACTACTTTCTTCCACAGACTTCTATCCAAAAATCATGTTGATCATCTCAGTTGTCTTTAACACAGCTGTCACTACAGAGAGAAGTATAACTCAAAACGTTCCAGAGTTTGTAGCATCCTTAATATCCTTCCCAGCCTTGCTCAGAGCCAGCACACTAAACTCATGACAGGACTAGAGCCAAGGGCTCATAGTGGGAAGCATGAAAACCTAGAATAATAAGAACCAGCTGAGCCAGGAACAGCCAGAAGTCCCAGGTCAACTAGGAAGGAACTTTAACATACTTTTATCTACATTATAGGCTTTTATTTTAGAGACAGGGTCTCCCTGTAGCCCTAGCTGCCCTGGAACTTGCTATGTAGAAACGGCTGGCCTTGATCTCACAGAATTCTGCCTGCCTCTGCCTCCTAAGTGCTGGGATTAAAGGCCAGATAAGCCACCACATCTGGCTTATCTACATTATAGTCTTAAATTTTTGGGCTACCTAATTTCTTGATATTGTTACTTATACTTAAATGACTAATTCCTTGATAGTTTATAAATTCAGTAGTTTTATAACTTTAATGACAAAAGTTTAGGCCATTAGATTAATGGTTATTTAATCCAGCCTCAATGTGTGCCCCCCCCTTTTATAAAAAAAGTGCTCAATTCTTTTAAGGAAATTAAAAAAAATTATTATTATTATTTTTGTGTATTAGTGTAATGCCTGCACATAGGAAGGTGCACCAGTGTCATGTAATGTCTGTGGAGGTCAGAAGAAGGTATTGGATTCCCTGGAACTGGAGTTATGGATAGTTGTTAGCTGCCACGTGGATGTTAGGAATCAAACCCGGGTCCTCTGCAAGAGCAGCCAGTGCTCTTAACTGCTGAGCCATCTCTCTAGCTCCCATCAAGGAAAATTTATAAGGAATGGTTAAGTGAGATAAGTTGAGGAATATTTTTACTAGGATATATTAATGAACTTTAAGAAGTAGTTAGTCCCTGATAAATAGCAAAATCTTTGAATGTGAAAAAATTTCTCAAAGTTATAAAATTTATGAGTTCAGATCCACTGCAAATATAATAAGGATGGGCTGGAGAGGTAGATAGCTCAGCAGTTAAGAGTACTGGCTGCTCTTGCAGAGTACCTGGATTTGATTCCCAGCACCCACATGGTGGCTAATAACTATCTGTAACTCCAATTCCAGGGGATCTAAGGCCCTCCTCTGACCTCTGCAGGCACTGCACAACATGGGTGCACCTACCTACACACAGCCATTACAGTCATACACATAAAAAAT